AGACATGGTAAATACAAGGCAAACATAAGTGGAAAGGTAGAATATGAGTTGGAAGATTAACTTTTTTTATTATTCAATGTTCAATGCATTAAAGTTCAATTATTCTGAATTCACGCCGCATAAGCTGATTCTCTTTTTTTTTTCTTTTGGATTCCAGAAAAAACTTGGGAAAATTACACATTTCTAAGCTTTTCTCTCCACCTAATCCAAAAAATAATAATTTCTTTTACCATTTTCCTAAGTTCCAAATTAAGGGAAAGTTTTTTAAGCAATAGGTAGGAATTATTTGAATCTCTTTATTATCACCGTATCGTATTGAATATTAATAATTATCTTATTAATATTTTTATTAAACAATTCACTTGATGCCATTATATTGTATTATTTTAAATCTCTAGTTCATTTTCACTTGTTTATTATTCTTGATCCCATTATATTGTATTATTAGATTTGATTTCACTAATTTTTGGAAAATAAAAAGATGCAAGTAAACAAGGAAAGGAAAAAAACGGAAAGCCAAACATAAAACACAACAATATGTTATGAGTATAATTTTGTAAGTGAGATTTACAGGAAAATTTTGTGTATGCAGATCTTGTCCCTATTTTGTGAGGAAGATGGATTGTTTTTCGAGAGATTCTCGATTAAAAAAAACATAACAAACAAAACTGTTTGGGAAAGAAGTAGCATAAGTGAAAAATGCATAGTAAAATACAAGAAAAACATAAGCGGAAAGGTAAATTATGAGTACGAAGATGACTTTTTTTTTTCTTCCCATTCAGTATCCAATATCTACATTGAACTCTGACTATCCCCAATTCGCGCTATGGTAAAATCCATTCTCCTTTTTTTTCTTTTGGATTCCAAGAAAGACCAAGGAAAACTACATATTTCTAAACTTTTTTCTCCACCTAATCCAAAAATAATAATAATTTCTTTTACCATTTTCCTAAGTTCCAAATTAAGGGAAAGTTTTTTTAAGCAATAGGTGGGAATTATTTAAATCTCTTTATTAAATATTAATAATAATGTTATTTTATTTTTAAATTAAACATTTTACTTGATGATAGAACAACAATTTTGGGGAAATTGTGGGTACAATGGAGCCCAAAATTCTCTAACCCATATACAAAGCCCAAGTTTTATATATATAACTATGAAATAAATCATAAGAAAACAAATAGAGTAATTAAAACTATGTAAGACGTTACGACTAATGAGGCTGGCCATTAATATCCATTATATTTCGTTCTTGAAAAGGTAAATGTTAACATAATATGTGAAATTTGTAACACACAAAATAATACAAACAACCTATTACATGCTATGTAACACAAATAGTGTAAAAAAAATTTACGCTATCAATATATTATAGTTGAATCGAGAAATTGAACCCTACCAGGCTCTAACATTCTTCAGGTATAGTCTCGAGTGAACAATGATGAGATTCATGAATATTGCGACTAGGAGAAGAAATAACCCTAACACAATTAGAAGGAATTTGAACTAGCTCTTGGGCAACATCCTTAAATTCGAGTACCCCTCGTTCTCTACACTTCAACAGAAGTCTTATAGCGTCTTCTTTTCTCATCAAGATTTTCACTTTAACCCCGTTACTATTTGCATGATCATTATCACCATCGCCACCATTAACTTTATATTTCTCCAAAGAAGTACCACTACTTTTGTTCAACTCCAAAAGGGTACTTGTTTCTTCTTCTTGTTGGGATTTAGGTTCTAAATCAAATTTCACTTGTTTTTTAATTTTGGGCTTTTTCTTATCCAACTCATCTCTACAAACATAAGTAAAATTAGTAGTACTATCAACCTTACTATAATTTTTGGAGTTGATTTTCCTACCAAAAAATATTTCCTTTAGTAAAGAACTAGCAAATCCCATAGTTATCACCATTTGGATATTTCTAGATAGAAAAAAAAAGAGTAGGAATATGAAGTTTTTTATTAGAGAAAGTAGGATAATTAGAAGAGATAAATTGAACAAGTGTTTAAATAGAAAAGTTATGAATAATTAATATGTGGAAGGAGTCAAAATGAGTAAAATTAGGGGCAAATTATAGTGACATGATCAGTCATAACTCAAGAATATAATTTTGTTTCTTAATTAAAGAAAAAATGGAAGTATTTGAAACTTATATTTAATGATTATTGTTTAAGTAATCAATTAAGGAGAAGAATGAACAAGAAAAATAAGTAAAAGTCTTTTTCAAAGTTAAAATGAAATAACTTTCTCATTGACCCAGCGACATGTTACATGCAGTTTATTCCACATTCTATATACAAAAAAAAAATACCGTAATTTTACATGTAGTGTGCGAAAAGTGTAAGATATATGACTTTATTTCAATCTTTATGAGGATATATAGAGTGTTTTTGATGGACTCTCGACTCAACAATAATAAAATAAATTTGGGTATAGTATTAGTTAGAGGCCGAGTTCTAGCTAGAGGTGGAAGGGGTCATCCATATCTCTTTTGTCAGAAAATTACATTTATATACAAGATTAAAATTATTGTTTAATGTATTTATAGTAAATAATGAATCTTTTTGGCTTCTGAGAGTAGTTAAATTTTTATGTTTAAAATTTCTTTGTGAAAATTATGACATTATCATTAATATCGGCACCACAATTTTATATCGCCAAGACACCCACCAAACACTATAAGTTAATTATGTCGAAATTATTAGTAGTATTTTTTATGCCAATAATCAAATATTATATTAGTTTTGTGGAGTTTGATCTACGTTGGGAAATAGTGGTGGAGCCACCTTAGAGTTAGGGATCCCTGCGGCGAAAAATTATATTATTTATATATGATTAAAATATTTTTTTAGGTATAGATAGTAGATGTTGAACTCCCTTCGACTAATTCATGTGTCTATTTTATCAAATTTTGAACCCCCTTATTAAAAATCCTGGCTCCACAACTGGTTAGGATTATATATTTTAGTTGATGCAATCTAACCAAATTACCCCTTAATTAGTGTTAGTTAATTGCTCAAGTTAATGTAATGTTTTGCTTTTATTAGCCGAAACATATGGTTTTAAATTTCTAGGTAACTGATGAGTAGGAAGTTGAAAACTTTGCAATCTTTTGGTTTAGGAAATAATTTTTAATCAAAACACGTCAAGTACGTAATTGGACCTTTTATTCTTGACCCGAGCGCACTGAGTAAATCTGTTTTTGTGCAATAGCTTGTAAATCACATACGATATGTAAATTGCATTATGCAAGCTCAGCCCAAGGGGTTGGATTGAGAAGATATTGATAAGTGGAATCAATCTCTAGCCTAACTCCCTTATGGAATATCACTTGTTGCACCAATTCAATCACTCTTACGAATACGTAGTTAGACTTTTATGACAAGTAAAAATTAATGGAGGGAGTATTTTATTAAGAGCTTTCAACATTTAATAAAGTTTGAATTTTCTTTTCAAACTTATCACTTGAATTTTAGTCAATTAACTAGTCCAAGAACCTTAAAACAAGTCTACTAGTTGGATTTTGATACTTTTGAATTGACATATGATATCTCAATAGCACTGTTAATCAAAGAAATTTCTTCTTTTTGTCTGTGATGAGAATTTTCTTCTTGTTTTTTTCTTCTTTTTCTTTTTGAATTTAAATATATTGAAAGTTCATAGAAACGTCTTCGACCTTATTTAGAATTGAGATGTAATTATAGTTATATCTTGTGGGGGAGGTAGGGATCAATTGGAGCGGTTTATCTGAATCTAATACATTCTTTTATGGAGGAAAATTCAATATTTGTTTATGAGTACATGAGTTGGTTCTTTTGTGCTCAATTTTATCAAATCCATACCCTAAATAGTATATCGATTCGCCTCCAAGTAAAATGAGTCTCGTGCTAAACTTGTTAAAGATTGAATTTGTCAAATTTAAATTTTGAATCCGTCTATGAAAAACACCTTGACCATAAGGTGTTGGGATGGAGACACCACAAGGCTAGTAGACATTGGACTAGGGAATGTTACTTCTGCGACATGTCAAATAAAATTTGTCCTAATAAGAGAAAAAATGAACGTAGAATTAATGTAACCAAACGTGTTATATTTTGTTTCCACGTCTTCTTCTTTTTTTGTTCGTTTGAGAACAATATAAGTTCTTACTTCTTCTGTTTCATTTTATACGATATATATTATTCATATAAATTAATTATAATCAAGTTAACTAATTATAATTATCCACAAATTTTGACAGATTGTCATGATATTCTTAGTATTTTTATGACGGTAAATTATCTTATTAAAGGTCAAATTATAAGCTGAAAATTAAATTATTTTTAAATATAGGAAGATATCCTTATTTTCGAATTAACTTATAATAGAATATTATACATCACATGAATTAAAATAAAGTATTTTATTTTTTTAGAAAAGAAAATTTTCGATTGAGTATTAGACCAATAATGCATTGTTTGATATACCAAGTTACCTTTATTAAAATATTTTTTTGTCTTTATAAGTTATTTTCTTCTTATATTCCATTAGTCAAAGTTAGATTCTTGACACCATTTCTAGTCAAAAAGACTATCAACTTTTACAAATGTCTTGTATTAATTAAAATTTTATTTTTCTCTTTACTTTAACCAAGAGACAAAAAGAATTCAATAGCTAAACTTGTCACGTAGAAGTTTTATTATTTATTTATTTTCTATATTTATCTTCTCACCCCACTTCTACTACATTTAATTTCTTCAGAACTTCACATCTTCTATTCGTTGTAATTTTAATAAATTTTTTAATATAAATTTTTGTTTCATATAAAAAATATTGAGTTTAGTTGAATTTAATGTTGCAATGTTACATCTGTCTCTTCACCTGTCTATCCTAGTAAAAGAGGTAAAAGAGACGGAGACTTAAATATTACAGTGTTTTTAGTATGTCCAAGAATAATTATTTGATTTAATTAACTTACATTATCGTAATAATTTTTATAAGTTATCAACAAAAATTAACATAATATAACAAGTTATTTATCCTTTATTCTAAAATTATCAATCAATGTTATTACATAAAGTTAGGTACAAAATAAACTCAAGTATACCTCCTAGAGGCTTGAGTAAAAAAAAAATCATATACAAAATTCTCTAACCCATATACAAGTCCAAGTTTTATATATACAACTATGAAATAAATCATAAGAAAACAAATAAAGTAATTAAAACTACGTAAGACGTTACGACTAATGAGGCTGGCCATTAATATCCATTATACTTCGTTCTTGAAAAGGTAAATATTAACATAATATGTGAAATTTGTAACACATAAAATAATACAAATAACCTATTATATAACTAGGACATGCTATGTAACACAAATAGTGTAATTTTTTTTACGCTATCAATATATTATAGTTGAATCGAGAAATTGAACCCTACAAGACACTAACGTTCTTCAGGTATAGTCTTGAGTGAACAATCATGAGATTCATGAATATTGTGACTAGAAGAAGAAATAACCCTAACACAATTAGAAGGAATTTGAACTAGCTCTTGGGCAACATCCTTAAATTTGAGTACCCCTACTTCTCTACACTTCAACAGAAGTCTTGCAGCGTCTTTTTTTCTCATCAAGATTTTCACTCTAACCCCGTTACTATTTGCATGATCATTATGATCACCATCACCACCACTAACTTTATATTTCTCCAAAGAAGTACCACTACTTTTGTTCAACTCCAAAAGGGTACTTGTTTCTTCTTCTTGTTGGGATTTAGGTTCTAAATCAAATTTCACTTGTTTTTTGATTTTGGGCTTTTTCTTATCCAACTCATCTCTACAAACATAAGTAAAATTAGTAGTACTATTAACCTTATTATAATTTTTGGAGTTGATTTTCCTACCAAAAAATATTTCCTTTAGTAAAGAACTAGCAAATCCCATAGTTATCACCATTTGGATATTTCTAGATAGAAAAAAAAAGAGTAGGAATATGAAGTTTTTTATTAGAGAAAGTAGGATAATTAGAAGAGATAAATTGAACAAGTGTTTAAAGAGAAAAGTGATGAATAATTAATACGTGGAAGGAGTCAAAATGAGTAAAATTAGGTGCAAATTATAGTGACATGATAAGTCACAACTCAAGAATATGATTTTGTTTCTTAATTAAAGAAAAATTGGAAGTATTTGAAACTTCTATTTAATTATTGGTTAAGTAATCAATTAAGGAGAAAAATGAACCAAGAAAAATAAGTAAAAGACTTTTTCAAAGTTAAAATGAAATAACTTTCTCATTGACCCAACGACATGTAGTTTATTCCACATTCTATATACAAAAAATAATACGGTAATTTTACAAGTAGAGTGCGAAAAGTGTAAGATATATGACTTTATTCCTATCTTTATGAGGATACATCGAGTGTTTTTGATAGAGTCCGACTCAACAATAATAAAATAAATTTGTGTATAGTATTAGTTAGGGGCCGAGTTCTAGCTAGAGGTGGAAGGGGGTCATCCATATCTCTTTTGTTAGAAAATTACATTTATATTTATGAGATTAATTAAAATTATTGTTTAATATATTTATAGTAAATAATGAATCTTTTTGGCATCTTAGCCTAATTAATTTTTTTTATGTTTAAAATTTCTTAGTGAAAATTATGACGTTATTATTAATATCGGCACCACAATTTTATATCGCCAAGACACCCACCAAACACTATAAGTTAATTATGTCGAAATTATTAGTAGTATTTTTTATGCCACTAATCAAATATTATATTACTTTTGTGGAGTTCGATCTACGTTGGGAAATAGCGGCGGAGCCACCTTAGAGTCAGGAAAAATTATATTATTTATATATGATTAAATTAATTTTTTAGGTATAGATAGTAGATGTTGAACTCCCTTCGACTACTTCATGTGTCTATTTTTTCAGATTTTGAACCCCCTTATTAAAAATCTTGGCTCCGCCACTGATTGGAATTATATATTTAAGTTGATGCAATCTAACCAAATTACCCCTTAATTAGTGTTAGTTAATTGCTCAAGTTAATGTAATGTTTTGCTTTTATTAGCCGTAACATATGGTTTTTAATTTCTAGGCAAGTGATGAGTAGGATTTAGGAAGTTGAAAACTTTGCAATCTTTTGGTTTAGGAAATAATCTTTAATCAAAACACGTCGAGTACGTAATTGGACCTTTTATTTTTGACCCGAGCGCACAGAGTAAATATGTTTTTGTGCAATAGCTTGTAAATCACATACGATATGTAAATTGCATTATGCAAGCTTAGCTCAAGGAGTTCGATTGAGAAGATATTGATAAGTGCAATTGATCTCTAGCCTAACTTTCTTATGGAATATCACTTGTTGCACCAACTCAGTCACTCTTACGAATACATAGTTAGACTTTACTTATGTATATAGTTTATGACAAGTAAAAATTAATGGAGGGAGTATTTTATTAAGAGCTTTCAACATTTAGTAAAGTTTGAATTTTCTTTTCAAACTTATCACTTGAATTTTAGTCAATTAACTAGTCCAAGAACCTTAAAACAAGTCTACTAGTTGGATTTTGACACTTTTGAATTGACATATATATCAATAGCACTATTAATCAAAGAAATTTCTTCTTTTTGTATGCGATGAGAATTTTCTTCTTTTGAATTTAAATATACTGACAATTCATAGAACAGTCTTCGACCTTATATAGAATTGAGATATAATTATAGTTATATTTTGTGGGGAAGGTAGGGATCAATTGGAGCGGTTCATCTGAATCTAATACAATCTTTTATGGAGGGAAATTCAATATTTGTTTATGAGTACATGAGTTGGTTCTTTTGTGCTACTTGATTTTTAACTAATAATTTATATATACTAAATGATTTTTCGTAAGATTAATATAAAATTTAGATCAAAACTACTCAATTTTATCAAATCCATACCCTAAACGGTATATCGATCCACCTCCACTAAAATGAGTCTCGTGCTAAACACGTTAAATATTAAATTTGTTAAATTTAAATTTTGAATCCATCTACGAAAAACGCCTCGACCGTGAAGTGTTGGGATGGAGACGCCACAAGGCTAGTAGACATTGGACTGGGGAAAGTTAGTTCTACGACATGTCAAATAAAATTTGTCCTAATAAGAGAAAAAATGAACGTAGAATTAATGTAACCAAACGTGTTATATTTTGTTTCCACGTCTTTTTTTTCTTCGTTTTAGAACAATATTAGTTCATATTTTTTCTGTTCCATTTTATATGATAAATTTTATTCATTTAAATTAATTATAATCAAGTTAACTAATTATAATTATCCACAAATTTTGACAGATTGTCATGATATTCTTTGAATTTTTATGACGGTAAATTATATTATTAAAGGTCAAATTATAAGCTGAAAATTAAATTATTTTTAAATATAGAAAGATATCCTTATTTTTGAATTAACTTATAATAGAATATTATACATTACATGAATTAAAATAAAGTATTTTATTATTTTAGAAAAGAAAATTTTCGATTGAGTATTAGACCAATAATGCATTGTTTGATATACCAAGTTACCTTTATTAAAATATTTTTTTGTCTTTATAAGTTATTTTCTTCTTATATTCCATTAGTCAAAGTTAGATTCTTGACACCATTTCTAGGCAAAAAGACTATCAACTTTTACAAATGTCTTACATTAATTAAAATTCTATTTTTCTCTTTATTTTAACCAAGAGACAAAAAGAATTCAATAGCTAAACTTGTCATGTAGAAGTTTTATTATTTATTTATTTTATATATTTATCTTCTCACCCCACTTATACTACATTTAATTTCTTCTGAACTTCACCTGCTATTCGTTATAATTTTAGTAAATTTTCGAACATAATTTCTTGTTTTATATAAAAAAATATGGAGTTTAGATGAATTTAATGTTGCAATGTTACATATGTCTCTTCACCTGTCTATCCTAGTAAGAGGAAAAAGAGACGGAGACTTAAATATTACGGTGTTTTTAGTATGTCCAAGAATGATTATTTGATTTAATTAACTTACATTAGCGTGATAAATTTTATAAGTTATCAACAAAAATTAACATAATATAACAAGTTATTTATCCTTTATTCTAAAATTATCAATCAATGTTATTACATAAAGTTAGGTACAAAATAAACTCAAGTATATATACCTCCTAGAGGCTTGAGTAAAAAATATTCATGAATAATCATAGGGAAAAAAAAAACTCAAGGGCTCTTAATAACGAAGCGGGTTGAAAATTATGAACAATAAAACTAACTCACTATACATTCTTCTCGCCCCACTCCACTGCCACCCCTAACTATTGACTAAGAGAAGAAATTAAAGAACTTTAACACTACTAGAAGGAACTTGTACAAGTTGTTGAGCAACATCCATAAACTCAAGAGCCCCTCCATTTCTATACTTTATCAAAAGTCTCGCAGCATCTTCTTTTTTCATCAAGATTTTTACTTTTATAACTCCGTCATTATTTGCAATATTAACACCTTCTTGTACTTTTGTTTCCTCCTCTTGAGTAATTGTATTTTTCTCGAAAGTATTATTCTTTTCGTTTTCCTCTTCTTCTTTTGATGGATGATATTTTGGTTCTAAATCAAATTTCACTTGTTTCTTGATTTTAGGCTTCTTTTTATCTAACTCATCTCTACACACATAAGTAGTAGTAGTGATATTACTACTTTCAACAATTTTGGTTTTTCTTGATTTACTTTTTTCACCAAAGTGAATTCCCTTAAGAAAAGACCTCCCAAATCCCATATTTAATTATTTTTTAAAAAATATTGAACTATATGGAGATTTAGGAGGAGTAATAAGGGGTTATAGCTATATTGTTGTAGAGAGGATGAAGAAAAATAGAAGATGAATTAAGTGTTTAAATAGATGAGTTAAGTTTTGAAAGAGTCAATTGGATTATAAATTGGGGCAGCCACATAAGTCATGATTATGACAGTGAAGAAAAAAAATATTCTTGTTGTTTACTTAAATAATTGAAATATTTAATCATAACAATAACATATTCAGTATTAATAGACGGTTTTCGATATAAATTATTTATTTTTACTTTTGTTCAAAATAAAGAAAAATCCACATATAAACAGGTGTCCACAAAATAAAATGAAAACTACAAGCATATAATGCACACGTATATTATGTATATTAATCAATAAATATAAATATTTTTGATCGAGCAATCGAATATATAATTATCATTTTAATTAATGTATATAATAAGAAGAAATGATGAAGAGTCCTAATAACTTAAGTAGATGACTCCTTAAATGAATTCTTCTATTGTGGTCCTCATAGAGATTTTGTAGCATTAATTTCTTCCTACTTTACAAGCATATTGCTTTTTCTTCAAACATTAATATTCTCTGGATTTAATTTTTATATGCAGAATAATTACACATTTTTAATCGTAAAGTTTACGTTATATTGATATGCTGTTGTTGACTAGAGTTATAAATTGGTGTTCGTGAAAATAGGTACGTAAAAATTACTATTAACTAACACAAAATTTTCAAATAAAAAATTATAATCTTTATTCATTATTTACATCAACTCACTAAATAACGTATTATCTTGATTTATATATACTTGTATAAATCATGTTAATCATAAAAAAAATATAATTTTAATTACTGACGTAATTATGATGAATTAATAATATTGAAGTATCAATTGATATAAATATCGAATGCAAATAATTTTGTTCAGAGGCACGAGGAAGACTAAAGAGGTCCTCAATAGTCTATTCTAACACTATTTTAATTTACTACATGTTGTAGTAAGTAAGATTAGACTAAGTCTTGGGAAATTGAAAGTGACATGCTTCTTAATATTAATGAATTGGATTAAAAAGACAGTTCGATGTATAAAATATCTCATATTTAAGAGTCACACTTTAAAAAAATATAATATAATTAGTTTATTCTAATGCAAATAGTAATAAATATTTTTAAAATACGAATTTGTAACGTATAAATGATATGAAGAACACTACTGTATTGTTTCTTCGACTCCCCTTCCATTAATATTGAATAAAAGGTAAGTCTAATTTTCTAGTAAAACGCGTTTTTATTTGTATGGTTTTGTTAATGTTATTATTATTAATCAACTGGTCAAGTTAAAGTGCTAATACTCATATTTTCTGTGTTGAATATACCTACCAATAATCTTGTCATTATATGTCTTTTATTCAAGTTTATATATTATTTTTTAATTATGTTAGTTCTAGACCAAGATTCTTTTAAATCAACCCCTTTTCCCATGTGAACTTGAACGTGGAATTGTAGTACGTACGTACTATTAGATTTTATTATAAGAGAGTTTCTAATTTTAGACTATGATATAAGTTATATATGTAATTTTTTAATTATGTCGAGTTTTAGATCAAGATTATATTAAATTAACCTTTTTTTCCAATGTAACCTTGGATTGAACGTGGAATTGTAGTACGTAGTAGTAGTAGTATTAGGTTTTATTATAAGAGTTTTTTCATAAAATTTTCTTTTAGACTATGATATAATTAGTTATGTATATATATATATATATATATATATATATATGTCAAGTTCTAGTCTTCTAGACCAAGATTGTCTTAAATTAACCTCCTTTTCCCATGTAATATATACTACTATTAGTGCTAATTATTATAAGAGTCTTTTTATTACATCTAATGTTGACTATGATATAAGTTATACATGTATAACTAGGATTACATACCATGTATTTCAAAGCCTTTGAACATAGTCTTTTTATTTGTTGTCATTCTTTAAATTACACTCTGTTTGGATCATTGTTATCCATTGTACTGTATTGTATTGTTGTCATACATACAATGTTTGTTTTTATTGTTACTTAAAATGTATTGTATTGTATTGTTAAATTTCATTGTTACATAACAATGAAAATCATCATTTTATGGAACAACCGATTTGGTGTGTTTCCATTGTTACTTAATTTCTTTTTCTAATTATATCCTTATGTGATATTTCATAATACTATTTTACCATTTGCCCTATATTATTTAATCCCAGTCAAACCTCCCCCTATAATAATTAAGGATATTTTAGTAAATTTATAAATTACAATACAGTACAATACAGTCAAACCAAACAATAAAAATATTACTAAACATCAGCAAACAATACAGTCTATCCAAACATTATAACTACCATACAGTACAATACAATACAATATAGTACATTACGAAATAATGGATAACAATGATCCAAACATAGTGTAATCACATCCATGATAGTAATTTGTAACTACTTTTAACTTATTTATGTGTTTCGACTTTGGTGAATGTTTATTCCGGTGCTTATAAATTAAAAAAAATTCAGTTAAAAGCTATAAGTTAATCATTCTCAACTTATTGCTTTTTATAATTATAAGCACTCTTGATTTAAACATCAATCTCCTATCCGTTTTCGATGTTTGTTCTTCTCCTTATACAAATACCTTTCAATTTATAAATTTTGGAAAATAATTTCAAGGACATATTGGTCATTCTAAAAAATTGCTTGATAACATTCTTTCACCAAACATATAATCACTTTATTATTTATTTCAACGCTTCAATCGAAACATATAACTATTTTTTTAATTATAAAATTTGTTTTAGCGCCAAAAATATCTTTTACTCCCTCCGTCCCATTTTATGTGGCACTTTTCGGATTCCAAGATTCAAACAAGTCTATCTTTGACCGTAAATTTTTCATAGATCTTTTAAACATTTTGAACTATCAATTATTGTAACTTATAGTGCTTTTTACGTAGTTTACAAATATATAAATTTCATTTAAAAAAATTGAAGATTTCATGCGCAAATTTCTGGTCAAACTTAAATTGTTTGACTCTCGAAAAACGAAAAGTGTCACATAAATTGGGACAGAGGGAGTACTAATTTTCTCCGCTTAATGCTTGTCAACTATTTTCAATCACTTAATGCAAAGATCACGAGAACAAGGTTTTAGGTAAATACTTGAATCATGCAACACTTGAGTATTATTATTAGACTATAACAACTCTAATCTTTTCAAAGTAATTAAACATGAAACTCAAAAATCTAACAAAATATATTATATTATATAAACCAAAAGTAATATTATTACACCCTCAAAGGCACTAACATTATTCAGGAATTGCCTTGAGTGAACCATAATTACAACTATTATGAATAGGAGAAGAAATAACCCTAACATTACTTGAAGAAACAAGTTCATGAGCTACATCCATAAATTCAAGTACTCCTCCTTCACTACACTTCAACAAAAGTCTTGCAGCATCTTCTTTTCTCATCAGTATTTTCACTTTAACTCCGCGATTATTGATCACATTATCATGATCATCAACACCTTCCCTTATACATTTCTTTGGTTCTTCATCATTACTAATTTCTTCTTCTAGTACTTGATGTTGGTATTTAGGTTCCAAATCAAATTTCACTTGTTTCTTGATTTTTGGCTTCTTCTTATCTAACTCATCTCTACAAACATAAGTAGTAGTGTTAGTATTACTACTTTCAACTTTATTGGTTTTTTTGGAGTTGCTTCTTTTTCCCTTTAGGAAAAAATTAGCAAATCCCATAATTATTTTTCACTAATATTTTTAATATATTGTATAAGGAGAAAGGTAGAGGAAATTAAAGTTGAAGGAGGATGAAGAAAAAGATCTAATGAATTAAGTGTTTAAATAGATGAATTAAGGTTTGAAGGAGTCAATTATATTGGATTATAATTTGGGGCAATATATGCAGTCTCACTGTCACAATCAAGAAATAATTTAATGATAAAAATGACTTCATGAGAGAGATTTTAATTTAATTTGTTTATTTTTCAATGGAAATTTTTTTGATCAGAAAAGATTGTGTCTTTCGTAATGGAATTCGATAAGTAAGTGTTTACATAATCTTTTTATATTTGAAGAAATAATTCATCGAAATAATGAGTCACCATTGATATCAACACATCTAATTAAGACTACCAAATGCTCGAGATCGTTCTTCTATTCCATCTTTTTCCCTCTTGGAGCACATATATCATATACGCTCCCAAAATAAAGAGTCTTGAATATATAGTAGGAGAAAAGCACCTATGACGATTCATAAAAAATGTGGTAAGGAACCTGATAAAATTGGTTTTATATATATATA